CCATCATCATCTTACCGAAATCGGTTTCGGCACTCATGACGGCCCCGACAATTAAAAGAAAGGACAAGGTCAGACTCCCGGGGAACCCCTTCATTAAGAAGGAAGTGAAGGTGTGCCTCCCCAGAGAGCCCCCAACTCTATAACATTTGGTCTCAAACAACTCTATTTTATCGAGTTTCAGGCAAATATAATAAAAGCACATAATAGAGGAAGAAGAAGTAGGAAGGAATAGAAAAAATGACGGACTCTATTGATCAGACTCGTTAGTTCCGCAGCTCGGGGAGAAAGTTCCATAATTCAATTCAAGATAGATAGAAGGGAGAATGCCGCTTTAGAAAAAAATAAAAATCATAAGGAAACATTATGAAAAGAAAAATCTATCTAAAGAGAGAAGTCTATTAGATAATTAATAAAGAAAAGAGAGCCAAAGAAGGAAGAGAGATTCCAAGGCTGGAATTCGAATTAGAACAGAAAAGAAATTGAAATGATGATGATAAAAAGTGAAAAGAAGAGTGGATAGCTAGCGCAAGGAAATGGCAAAGGGATATCCTTTTCCCTGAGGAAAAAGAGAAACCTCCTGATTAAATACTAAATAAAGTACATATACTTTTTATTCAAAAAAATCAATATATACAATAATCACATTATATACGATATTCCGCACTTCTCTTATCAAATTTCTAGTTAGAGAGAGAGCTAACCGCTGCCAAAATGCAGCAGTTTTTCTTATATACGATAGCACCCCCTGCCCTCCTTGTTCAAGTAGTTCAAGAGTGAAAGGGCGTAGTGAAAGAAGGGAAAGATATCTTTCAAAGATATTCTACCCATAAAGGCAGTTCTCTTATATGGCAATACTAGATTGGCGAGACAAGAGAGAAAGCTTAGAAAGTAGTAAGGTGTCTATGGGGCTTGCCTTACAGGTAGTGACTATACCACTTACATATCGAACAGATCTTACTCTCAATGGAGTCATTTCGATATGACCTAGGAACTTACAGAATACCGAACTTGGATAATCGGTAGAAGAATGATTGGCTAGATCATTTGCTTCACTGCGGAAGAACCCCTTTCTACGCTACGTTCCCAATAAAAAGCCGTCATCCTTCTGTCGCCTGTTAGCCACACCAGACCAAGAAAAGGCAAACTAATCAACCAAGACTCAGTCACGACCTTTGTAACCTCACGGCCACTTTCTTTCCTAGAGCTTGCAGCCATTATCTTCGCTTTTCAGATATGGTGACATTACTTGTATGGGGGGAAGTGCCAGATCTTTACGGATCATAAGAGCTTGAGGTACTTGATGACACAGAAGGAGTTGAACCTTCGCCAGGATGGCACACTTCTATTCCGGGGACGAGTATGTGTTCCTCAGGACAGTGACCTGTGCCATGATATCTTGGAGGAGGCGCATAGCTCACCTTTTTTCCTGCACCCAGGGAGCACGAAGATGTACAGGACGATCCGCCCACACTATTGGTGGAAAGGTATGAAGAGGGATGTCGCTGAGTATGTGGCTAAATGCTTAGTGTGCCAGCTGGTTAAGGCTGAGCACCAGAGACCAGCAGGACCCTTACAGCCAGTTCAGATACCACAGTGGAAGTGGGACGAGATAGCCATGGACTTTGTCTCTGGATTGCCGAAGACTGCGAGGCAACATGACGCCATTTGGGTGATTATTGATCGGCTGACCAAGTCAGCTCACTTCCTGCCGATCAGTATGACTTACTCTACGGGCAAGCTAGCCCAGATATATATTGATGAGATAGTGCGCCTACACGGGATACCATCATCCATAGTATCAGACAGAGATCCACGGTTCACTTCAGCCTTGTGGCAGAGCCTACAGAAGGCTTTGGGTAGCAGAGTGAGTCTTAGCACAGCCTTCCATCCTCAGACCGATGGCCAGTCTAAGAGGACCATCCAGACATTGGAGGCTATGCGGAGGTAATCCCTTGATTTTCGAGGTTGTTGGGACAGACATCTACCCTTGGTTACGTTCGCCTATAACAAGAGTTCTCAGGCGAGTATAGGCATGCCACCTTTTGAGGCACTCTATGGACGCAAGTGCAGGACTCCCCTATGCTGGGATGAAGTAGGGGAGAGACAGATTCTTGGGCCAGAGATTGTACAGGAGACCTCTTCCTTCGGTCCGGTTAGTACATGGTTCTGTCGTTTACCTTGCGCCTATCTATTCCTTTAAGCTTATATCTTATACCATTGCAATCAGACTCATTGGATATGTTCCTTTTCTCTTCTACTATCGAGAGTCGTACGGGTGAGGAGGTGAGCTCTAAGCGTATACACATAGATAGATCTGGGTAAGCGACCATCAGCGGTATGGGTAGCAGCTACTATCAGTACGCCAGTCTAAGGCTGTTCGTAGAGGTAGGTCGTAGAGATCTATGAAGGGCTATCTTTAGCATAAATAGCATGGTTAATTATAGAATAGCGTGATGGCCGTAAGAAGATCATAAATAAGGTAAATAGTCTGGAGTGGATGTCTAGATCAGGGTGTCGGCATCACACATATAGCATGTGTGCCGTGAGTGAGAGGGTGGTCGTAGATCAGCCCTCAGCTCTTCTTTCGAAATTATCGAACATGATGACTTATCGGCTTGAGGCTTCTTTTCTTTTCAAGCTGAGTAGAAATTTCATAAGAGAAGAAAAGTTCACAGAAGGTTCTTCAATAGTATGCCCGGTTCACGAGGTTCTACCACTGCAGGGCCCAGTTGCCATTCTCCCATTACTCAAGTCGTCCAAGGGACAGGACCCCCGCACTGTAAAAAGTTTCCTTTTTATACAACTCATGATATCTTTCTTCTGTGCATATCTCGGTTTTAATAACTTCTGGGTTTATACCAAATCGACCGTAGAGAGAGTTCATTAGTATCTTGTAGATATATACCATAGCTGCATCATCCTTTATCTTTGCTTCTTGTCTTCTAGCGAAGATGTCTGATACAAAGCCTTCGAAAGGACTCTTCTTTTTCTCATACAAGTAGCCCCTTAGCGGGAAAATTCTATAACCCAAGTTTCGGGCATAAAAAAATTCTTCGCTAAAATAGACGCCTACGAATTTACCTGTTGGGAAGGTTAAAGCATTATGTCTATCCTTATAGGGTAAGAAGGCTTTCTCTATTGTAGAGAGGACACACTACAAAAGCCTCAATAAAGCCAAAGAAGTTATCCAATTCCGCCTTTTCTAAATTATTATGCCAGACGTCCCGGCCTGGGAGCCCCGTTCGCCTGGCATCGGAAAAGTTTTCATTATAAATGGATATAAGGAGTTCACATCGTAATAGTCTAAATTTTAACCATAGGGCTTATAGACATCGGCATGTCCTCCATAATAACCACGCCGAATGAAGCGTTCTTGGTTTCGAGTTGGTATATGGATGGGCCAACTCTTTGGGTCGTAATAGTGCATACGAAAGATTGATAGAGCTAGCGATGACAACGTTATTGTATCAACGATGTCTATTTTGTACAGATTCCAATAAATCTCTTGTGCCTTCAGCATAACGCCACCTAAGAGACGAATATCTTGTTTCAGATAAGCCAACAATTGTTGACCTATCTCCGGAAGATACTCAAGTCGTAATTTCTCATAGGGAATGGTGCCTTTAGAACCTAATTTCGGGCATAAATCCTGGGCCAAGTTATTTAGCGCAGCGGGAAGGAGAAGGTAGGAATCCCTTATACGGAACAATAATTTCTTTTTTTCATTTCCACGATAGACTTTTAACTCGTACATTTTATGCTTCCTCATCACCGTTTGGAAGGAGTACTTGCCGATCTGAGAAGTAAAAGCTCTCGTTACTATAATGCCATCGTATCGTGAAAAGTTATGGAAATAGACCGTTCGAATTTCTTTTTCATCTGATACCACAGCCGCTAAACGCTCTATAAAGTCGAGCATCATACGTTCACTTCGTTTTTTGAAATCTGATATTGAGAAATCGTTATCTTCACTGAAATATGTTTCAATATAATATTCAGACTTGGAAGCAAGATCTTCACCCGGCTTAACCACTAAGAACCCCACTGCGCAAGGAACATGAACATCGTCGTGGAGAGCAGCCTCTATATCGGCAACAATGAATGGGCTCCTTTTTATTTTCTTAATTGCTTTCAGTGCGGGTATATGATCGGGACGACGACTCTTCTTACCCATAGCTACCACTTCTACAGGTTCATCACTCATTGTCCCGCCATCCGTTAATTCATCACAAAGTTGCTTAAAAATTTCCTCTAGGCTAAAAGGGTGGACTTCACGGTGTTCAACCCTTTCGAAGAGATAGATTCGAACCCCTACTCGGTCTAGCTGCCCCTCTTCGTATTTTATTTCTCAGCCTTTTCACAGACTTGTTTCAAAATTTCATTATATACACGAAGCGGGGGTACTTCTGCGTTATCGGCCTTTACTAAAATTGCATTTCCTGCTGTAAAGTCGGCTCGTTCGTTATTTGTATGTATCAGACCATAATGGATAGTGAATTTAATAGAACGAAATCCGCTATTGTATGCATATTTCATTAACAGTATCATTCCCGCTAATGAGATAACTTCAATTTCGACACATTTAAGGTAAGGTTTTTTAAAGCGGAATTCTGCTATTCTTATTGACTCAAGGGGGCTATGATATTTTTCCTCAGCGATCAACTTGTAGAGAAATCCAGACTGGAACTATTGATGATTCTACGTTAGCTCTAAAGTAAGGAGACCACTTAAAAACCCTCATCGGATAAGAAAAGATATACCAGATAGAGCGCAACCAAGTCCATTTTTGAATGAGAAGGCTAAATCATCACCTTATTTGAGGAAGTAGCCATGGAAGATTGGGTCTGTATGGCTTCCTGGGGTCGAAAGATCTTCCTTCAGCCTTGAAAGTATGCTGCTGCTTTAGCGCGAATGAAACCATTTCTCAAAATAAAAAGGAATCCTCCTCTTGAGGTTGGTAACCTAGCCCAAAACCATGCTCATGGGAAAAAAGTATGGGGAAATTAAAAGAGACCTTGATGTCTTCGCCCTAAGCGCATGCCAGGAAACTCATTCCTCTCATGATTTCCATGACACGAATCTTACTCTAGGGATCGAAATAAAAGGTAAAATACTCCTTACTCGTAATTAAACCCACTAATCATCATATCTTTTTTACCATGTTCGATTTGCAGAATGGGGATATTCGAATCCGGTCCTTCTGACATATCTGCATCCCCATGTATAGTAAGAGTCTTTCCAACGAGGAACTTCACTATCGTATAGTTGACTCGACTCGAATGCCCTCTTAGCAATAGCATCCGTAACCGCAGCTATTGAGTCTGCTGTGGGAATAAGCGCCGCAGAATAGGCAGCTATTGACTCCCTCTTGACAGCTTGCTTATGTTAGAGCTATTGTGTCACTGTCCTTCTCTACTTTCTCTGCCGATACCGAAGAGGGTAACTAACCTCTTGACTAAGGGCTTGTTTTGTTTACAGAGTGAAAAAAGGAAACTTGTCAACTAGACTTTTCGGAATGTCCAGGGGAAAACCGGTCGTTAAGATAGAGTCGGTGTCGGTAGCAGTTCTTGCTTAGCGGGATCAGGTCACCAATCGGTGACATAGTTTAGGAATGAATATCCGTAACTCCCATTCCAGTACTTAAACTGACAAAATGGAATAAAAAATAAAGACCTGGCTCAAGGCTAACCCCTCCACACTCAGGGTCAGGAACGGGAAAAGGAGAATGAGTAGGACAGGCTCGAGGTCAATTCTTTCTTTTAGGAGAGATCCCACCCCCTTCTTTAGCGCTTGTTCGTTCTATAAGACTTCCTTCTCGTTCTCGGTGAAGGAATCGGAGCTGCTATAGAATCAGCATCTTACTCTTTAACGGCAAGCTCAGCAACGAGAAGTTTTCCTCTGCTGGAAAGCAGTCCTTCACGGATATGGGAGCTTACTCCGCTGTTGCTGGTTTAGTAAGCTAAGCATTTCCATCCTTTATGATTATGAAAAAGGAATGGATAGAGAGGAAGGCTCCAGGGTTTGTTTCTCTTGGTGTCAACATAGGAATGGGAGCAGTTTGAATGGATGCCTTTTTCCCTTGTTGAATCAGCCAAGTCAGTAGCCTTTCTTTTATGCGGGATTGCCTGTTGATGCAAGGAATAAGGGCTGGCTTGATGCCAAGAAGAAGCTGGTGGAGGAATAACGGCAGCTAAATCATCTGCTGCACAGTAGTACGTATTAGGCAAATGGGATTTTTCTTTCCTAGGCTGAGGAGCGTAGTCAGAGGTCTTTGGTGCCTGAATGCTTGACTTAGAGCTTGAACTAGGGGCAATCCAGCAACCATTTCAACTGGATACCATCAAGAGGGCAAGAGAGGAGGAGCCGATGAAATTCTTTCGGAGTTCTTCCCCGCTGACGTCTAAGCTCTCAAGGACTCGGATTAGTCAACAGGAATGAAATCTAAGAAAGCTGGTAGCTCGAGCGAGGAGCGGAGCCTAGCCCTATAGCTATAGGCTATATAATATTCTATTTCCTCTGCTTTGAATAGTTAGAATCAAACTCATTGCTCATTCATTAAGAGCTCTTGTCGGTAAAGTAGATCTAGATCGAGAGAGAGAATTGGCTTCTCGAGAATCCGCTGGAGTCAGATCAGTAGGGGAGTTCACACCGGGACTTTCTTAATAGAGAAAGAACCCATACCCTGAACCGGGGAAAGGCGATAACGACCCAGGAAATGGTGAAGTACGTGAATCGACTCCCTCTTCGAGTCCAGACCTTTTAACATAAAATAAAGAATAAGGGACTGACTTCTTTCTTGACAAGGATCCTGAATAAATCGCACATGCTCCAAGGACTTCACGGAATTAGGAGGCACACAGGTGGGTATACCAAGAGAAATGCGGGTAAGCGACGAGGGAAATTGCCTCAACAAAACAAGTTTTTATTTCCAGAAAGATCCCCACGCTGAGGGATGAACCTCGCCAAATGATCTTATGGATCACCCATCCCATCTTTTAGGTTCCATTTGGGCAATATGTATCCCGCTGGGTATGGCTCGTAGTAAACCTCTGTAAGATAAGGAGGATCATAGGGTAGGTAACCTTTTCACCATTCTAAAAGAATGGTACCTTCCAGTAAGCAGGTCTCTTCAGGCACTCCCAAAAGAAAAGAGAGAATTCAATTCATTTTAGCCTCTGAGCGAGGATACTCCAACAAGAAGAGCCTAACCAGGCCCTTGAGATAACAGCCCATACCATAGGGTAGCCCTACAGAGCCAAAATGAAAGGCCTTCATCATAGGCTAGCATAGCAGACAATAACGCGAAATCCAGGAAGGGGAGGGGGAATGAATGCCAAATCTGAAGCAAACCGAAAAGCTAGTTCCCGTGGAGTGAGTCTAGTGCTTCCCTTTAACCTAGAAGCACTCAGTGAGCCTTCAACAATGTCCTTCCTGGCCTGTTGTTTGAGTTGACCGAAGGCGGCGGGTGGAGAGAACCAAAGACGTTGACGATCGATTCCT